AACTGATTTTTAATCTGTAACAAAATTGAAAATCATAGAAGTGCGAAGTTGCATATCAGCGAAGTTTTAAATTTAAAAAATAAGGGGTCCGATTTAGGCAACTACGAGGGGTCCGGTTTAAACGACTATAGCATACATTTTAATAATGTCATAATTTTTTAACCACACCATTATATGAACTATATTAGTGAGAAACAATGACCTCAAACCCTATTATTTAAAATAATATATAGATTGAATAGCTTACCTGCTAATAACTCGAAGAAATAATAAAAAATATAACACAACGTAAAAACTTTCCACAGAACCAACACACGTGCAAGACGACTGGCAAGCAATAAGTGACGTAGCCGGCTTGTGCACTTCACCACTGAGTCATGGAACTCTAATATACCATTTGCACTCATTGCCGCCACGATTTAAATTAAAACGTACCAAGAAAGCTAGGGGTCCGCTTTAGGAGGATGGTCCACATTTGGGCACTTTCCTCTATAATTTTGACTCTCATCGTTGTTCCCCCTGAACCGTTATATACCTATCACTAATTTGTTTTACTTTTTTATGATTGTTAAATGAATCATGTTCAACTATTATATTTTCCATTTTTTCGCAATTTCATTTATTAAATTCTTATTTATAAATATCATATTTATGGACATGTGTCTGTCTTCTCGCTTATATATCTATCTAGTTTTATTTCGTCGTAGATTTGATATAGTTTTTCGCTCTTTTGATTGTTTCTATTAGTTTTGCTTACGTCACATGTATTCGAATGCTTTAATTAATAAATATGTGCAGATTTCTATACTTTTGATCTTTCATCTTTATTCACTATAAGGTATTCACGTTTTGTTGTGTGTATTCCTAAGCCAGATGCTTTATGATCTGTGGCTAATGAACATAGTTCGAAGCCAAACCTCTCCACATACACAAGCCAGATATTTTATGTTCTTTTTTAACCTGTTTCACCACATGGTGCACCATCATGCACCATTCTATGCTTTAGTAATTGCCCATCCAGCACTTGAGTAGATATATCTTAATTAAGGTAAGTGCAAGCTGAAGGTGAGATAAAAAGAATCCTTGTTTTAAGCCTTTTGTTGTTTTAAACGAAACGTTATTTTCTTTTTCATAATTACACATAGATGTAGAGTACAAATTTTCTTTCTTGCTACCAATTCCAAAGTTAAGAACCAATATTTGTAATCTGCGTTAAGAGAATCGCTTTTTAGAAGATGTTTTGAATTCAAATAGTCCTTAAAAAAATCTTAAAACAATCAATGACCAAAAGTTGTTTTTTATGGTTTTAAGAGTGCCATTTTGTAAAAGTCAATGCCTATGTAATATATTAAATTTACTGACTAATATTAGCAAAAACCATGTACAGTAATATAACTATTTGCCAGTATTACACATTGTAAAATATGTCTGAATTTAAATAATGATATGTGATATAATAAATTAAAGCAAAGATCAGTACGTTGTTTATTTATTGTTTGTAAAAATGTTCTAATATAACTTCTACTTCCTCATAAAATTTTTGAAGAAAAGTTTAAAATTATCTCCGAATTATTTTGTATTTATTAAAAATTTACTAGACTTTTTAAAGATTATCTAAAAACAGTTTAAAAATTGTCTAAAATTCAGGTGAAACGAAATCAATTTATTCGATTCTTCAACAGGAATATGGCCATTCCGATAGCCAGCAACTGCTTGGAGAACACTTCGGCACAAAGATCGTTTAACAATGCAACCTACTTGTTTGTCGTCAGTGTTTCATTAACTTACCGTGCACTCACTAATGTTACTAACTAACTAACAAACTACTACACATAATCTTATAAATTTCTTCAATCAAAAGTAAACCCTGATTATGTATCTCCTAATTCAATTCTTTATTGGGATTACTTGAATTGACACATATAAAATGTCATCTGAAATGTAACCCTTGTACTTTATATCTTTTGTATAGCTTTTACTGTATATATATATATATATATATATATATATATATATATATATATATATATATATATATACTATATTTAAAACAGTTATACAGAGGTTACAATTTAAACACAAACAATAATGTGCTGTTATCTGGTAACAATTTTAGGAACGTTATTATGATTAAACTCACGATACACAAATACCGGTATGCTACTCAAGGAATAGAAATGTATACTCTGACGCGCATGACGTCACCTGCGAAGCAACAATACCGGGTACTACGATGTTCGAGCTATAGGATTCTCTGTCCCGGTAGATGTATTTGTGCGTCGTGCGGTAGCTGAATTGTTTTTACAAAGCCTCTCATTTCGATCTCTTTTTCTAGTGTTTAGTCTGTTTAGTTTAATTTTGTGTATTATCGAAAAACATGCCGGGTTGTCGGCACACATTAGATCACATTAAGACGTTGGAAGACATTAAATCACATTAAATCACCAGTGACATGGGTATTGGAAATACTGCCCTTTGATCTCAGCCGAATGTTGGATATAACAAAAATTGTTGTATTAATCACCCTTGTGATAAGTCTTGAAATATTTTTGATTTTTCAGATCCTTCACATTTGATTTAACTTGCCGGAAATTATGTTATTGATCATGGTTTTGTTATTAATAAATTTATATAATTTTATTTATTACAATAAAATAATCAACAATGATCAACTTCAGAATTGACAATTGCGCATAAATTGACACTACATCAGCTCTGTTTAAAAAGCTCTATGAGGCAAACAGTGATACCTGCAGTTCAATTATTGTCAAATTCTGTAGCAAAAGCTATTAGTTATGCTGGAGAATATGGGCTTATGTCAAAAGATAGTTACTGGAACACGAAATGGATATGGTACAGATTTAGATAAGCAGGCACGTCTACTGGATGTAATGTCAGAAATGGTCAATTCAATGCGGGTGGGTAAACATAAAGGACTTATTCCATTTCAAAAAAGAATGTCTACTAATAGATCTCTGAAAGAGTTACTTTCTTACCTACAAGCAAAATACAACGTTAACTATATTTTAACTTCGAGGTTGAATCAAGACGTGCTAGAGAACTTTTTTTCTTATATTCGAGGAATGGGTGGTGCAAATGATCATCCTTCGCCAATAGATTTTAAATATAGATTAAGGTGGTATATTTTAGGAAAACATTCGGCGGCGATCTTAACAGAATGTCGCAATACTATTGAAACTAGTGAATCTGTCGTAAGCAACAGTTCGAAAGTCCTCAATTACCAAGCGATATTTCGGCGTCAGAAGATATTTGCTTAACCAAAAAATGCTGTCTAATTTGGTAGAAAAAACTGAAGGTTCGAAAGAATCTCAGTCTGAATAGGACAAAATATATTTATAGAAGCTCACTACTTGGAGGAGAATCATATAATTGACGATGACATTTTGAAAGTCGCAGACAATTATGTGGTGAGAGAAAAAATTCATCTGGACTCTTTGAAGTATGTTGCTGGTTTTGCTGCATACAAATTATAGCAAAAATAATAAAATTTTAGGAAACCCTCCAAAATGATGTGACATATATGGAACCATATTGACTACAAACAGTCTGTTTGGAAAAGTGTCAAGACTGATATAAATATTTTATTTTTTATTATTCAGAATATGACCTTATTTACTTTTAAATCTTTTTTAATCATAATATATTAGCTAATTATAATATGACTTTAGTTTATCTTTAAATTCTCGAACTCAAATTGGCTGATTAATTATTGTCAAGTTCTGAGAATTCACTTGTCTGGAAAACAACATGTTTTTGGGAAATATTTATCAACCTAAACACTTAGTACTTTAGAGTCCGTAAGGAAACGTACCCGTCCTTTGTGTAGAAAGTTTAAAATGTCATTTTAAGCTTAATTTAATGCTATTCACGGAGGTCCTAAAAACAAAAGAACCACCTAGTCGACTTGGGTACATACGTGTTTTCTTTCGTATAATCGACCATTCTGCAACAAACTCTCGTCGAGAACGCAAGCAAGCAAACGAGCATCCGTGTTCATCCCGTTTTACCCTTAGACCTTAGACTCCGAGCGGGGTCCAACCACAGACAAAAGGTAAGTGAATCTCATATAGAGTTGACAATAAGTTATTAAATCTGCCAATTGTTATTTGAATTACAACATTTTATTTTATATATATTTGCTACAAAATTTGCTATTTTTTTGGTTGCGTATATATTTTATACTAAGCGACTAACAGGGCAAGCGTTAGTGTTTTAATAGGAACTTTGCTTCGCACGTGACGTCACACAGTGCGAAAGAGATAGAGCTAGCGTGCGCAATAACATACTTTTGTATTTGTGTATCGTTATTTAACTAATATAAATAAATATCTTGAGATAATTAACTATTATATTTTAACTAATTAATATTTAAATATTTAGGTTTTTAATTATTATAATAACTTCCAAGTATCCAAAGCTAAAAAAAACAAATATGGTTAAAATCGGTACACACGTTTTAAAGTTATAAATGGTGTATCGAGCACGATTTATGACTTTGTTTTAAATGTAGATATCGGTAGTATTTTTTATAAACTTTTATGATTTTTTAAATATTTTTCAAAATATACGATATGTTGCAAAACCTTTCTAGTCACGAAACAATAATTGAAAATAATAGTTGGAATTTAACGAAAATAAACAATAATGATCGATTAACAATACGATTAGATAAACGGGTAGCTTTAAGTAGTAGTACTTTATGATTGACTATGCGACGTCATCTGCCTGCTCATTTTATAAAGAATATTTCTGTTGTGATATGTAAAATAAATTTTTGCTGCATTTGTTTAAAATGTCTTGGGACATACTGTATATAGATAGAATGTCTTTAATAATACATATGTTACTAATAAATGCTACCCACAGAGCCTTAAATTAACTAGTTGCTAAGTTGCTTTTACTATTTTACAGCTTGATAGACTTTTTAACTGGCTGTATAACAAGGTAGACACTAGAGTCGCTGTATAAACTATATGATTATGTTACTAATATCTTACACAGTTTTTAGTGTACCAGCCTTTCCAGAATTGGAAGCAATTCTAAATGTAGCAACGGGTTCCACCAGCAGAATGTACAAGTATAGAAAGTCTTCAAAAGCGTTCAGGTATCAGAACCCAGATGGCTCCCACAGAAGCAGAACCTGTATAAATAAAGAGCAAGCCAAAATCCTACAAGATGCTTTTGATAAAAATCAATTCGTAGATAACCAGACACAAATTAACTTGGAGCAAATTACTGGATTACCAGGAAAGGTTATTAAAGTTTGGTTCCAAAATAGGCGTAGGGAGAAGAAAATTGTGAAAAAGTTTATAGAATTGTAAAAAATATTTTTCTGGTAATTGTTTTCTGGTACTTAAGCACTTAAAGACATATTTTTAAAAGAATAGGATAAACGAATTTATTTATTTGCTTTTCTGTCGATATGTTGAAGAAAACAATAGGTTTTTTGTGTCCTTATGTACTCTTTTGTGATTTGACCTTGGCTTTATATTAGGTACTTTCGGTTTGTACTATTCTAGTAGATAACTTAGTAATTAGTAATAGAATTTGAACCTTATTCTATAATAGACATAATTTTCTTTGGGTCAAAATGTAGTGATTTTATGTCTTATGACTTTTAAATCTTTTTACAGTTTTAGCCCTCTTATCGGTCAGTGACAATTAATGCCGCCATTACTCATAATATAACGCAAAATTGGGTTTATAGTTTTATATATAAAGATTTAAAAGTCAAGCCCATAGAAACACTACATCTTGACCTGAACTCTAGCCTAGTTTGATTATATTTAACAATTTAGTATTTAATTCAAAACACATCTAAATATAATTTACAATAATTCAAATAACCTTTCATAATGAGAATTTGTTCCATGAGCTTAGATTCCGAGGTGTGGATTTTTTATTGATGTCATATAATATTGTAATTTAATCAAAGACAGTTTTCGCTAAATGGCACAACAATTTACATCTTCATAAACTTTGTATTTCTGATCTCCAAATGTTTGCAGACTTGGTACATTTTTTTGAGATTGTCACCACAATATTCTATCATATTAATTTTACTATTACTTCTTCCATTATATTGTAGATTTGACCAGACTCTTTGATTTCTTTTAATTGATATTTTCATACACATACCTACTATTTTCATTATTTGACCAGGCTATATGAGCTCAAAATTATTAACTTGCAATAAAACACTAAAAACTTTTGTTTTTAAAAGTTCCACAAAATTTATTATTACTACAGCTGTTTCAGCAGAGTGCCTTTCTCAAGAGATCTATTTTTGGCATGCGTTTACACTTTATAGTCTTCTTCTTCTTCTTCTTCTCGTAGCACTACAACCCGGGGTGGGTCTTGGCTGACTGCACAACTTGCTTCCATTTTGAACGGTCGACAATAATAGTTAGGTCAGTGGGTATCCCCATTGTTCTTAGATCTGACCATATATTGTCTTTCCATCGCATTCGTGGACGTCCTAAGGGCCTTCTTCCTGTGGGGGCTTCCTCCCATATTAGCTTGGTAAGGCGGTTATTAGGGAGTCTATGAACATGGCCAGCCATCTAGACGTTGGGATTTAATCTCTTGGACTATGTCGCTCGCTCTTTAGATCTGCTTGACGTCAGCATTTGTGCTCATTCGGTATTGGTTGCTATTAATTTAGTTTTCTTTCAGTTTCTTTGGTCAGGGTCCACGTCTCACACCCATACATGAGCACCGGTCTAATCACGGTTTTATATATTCTAATCTTTGATGTTCGTGCTTTTTAGCTTTAATAGTATTGTGGAGGCTGTACATACATCTGTTTGCTGCCTGAATTCTTCCTTTAGTCTTTTCCGCGATATCGTTATCGGCAGTGATTGTTGCTCCGAGATATTTAAAACTCTCCACTCTTTTAAAGTTATATGGGTCTATTGTAACATTTTGTCCTATTCTATCTCGTTCCTTTTTTCTGTTGATGCACATGTATTTGGTTTTCTCTTCGTTTAGCAGACTTTATAGTCTGCAACCGAATAAGTTAAGGAGAGGATAACTGTTAGTCTCAATTTGGTCATTTAGAATTATTTCTGTATTTTTTTAATTTGTTAATTTCCATAGATTCTAATAAAGATAGATTCAGGCCTATATTTTGAATGTGATGAAATTGGTCATTAAAAGAATGATTATAGTCTAGAAGAAGGTGAAGTGTGTACGCAAAATATGCGTTTTTTTATTATTGAAAGTTATTTTGTGCTCTGCTCTTCTCTTGTTAAAAGTTGTACCAGTTTGACCGGATGTAAGTTTTTGGATAGTCGCCACATTTAAGTTTGTATACACCACTGTGCAAGTGCTTTTTCTTTTGGCTATTATTTTCTTAATATATTTGCCCAAGTTATTGTTTATTTTGAAAGCTGGTATCATTTCTTTCTTTTTCATGTATTTGGCTCTTTTTTGTTGATATCTTGCCTGTATATGTAGAAGTACTGATTGTGTTTTTTCTCTGATGATGAATACTAATTTCAGGGCTTTTTTATGTAGTTTTTGATTTAAATTTTTTTTATTGTTTGTTCGTTGTACCCATTGTTTACTGCTATTTGCTTAATAATATTCAATTGTATCTTAAAGTTGTTTTTTTTACATGGGAATTTCAATGAATCTATGTAACATGCTATTGTAGACTGCCAATTTATGTTGTGTAGGATAGGATAATAAATTGTTTATAGTCGTGTCAGTATGAGTAGGTTGCAGTCCTCCGTAGTCGTAGGGGAAACATACATAAGAAAGAAATAATGTCAGACTGCGGCATATAAGACGGAAAATAATGTATAATTAGAAATCAGAAAAATATTTTGTTTATAAACGATATCTAAATTTTCTAGATATTTTAGAATTATAAAAGAAACTGTATGTGATATTTTTATTTATTGTACAATTTTTTGCTTCCTTGGATTTAAAATTTAGACTAAAATCTATTCTTTGGTACCTACAGAAGAATACAAGTAATATGCTACTAAAGATTTAGTCTAAAAAAATTAAATTTTTATTTATTTTAGGGTTTCATTTTGTATATAAATATAGCATTAGTCATACATAATAACGTATTATAATTATTGATGTATTTTATCACAATTAACAGTATTATTTTTTTTAAAGCGAGTGTTTTGTTTGTGTAATGTTAAAACCAATCAAATAGATATTAAGTAAAAGTACTGTACAATTCATTACATTTATTATGTATATACATATACGCACATAATTATAATCATCTCTTTTTTCCAAAGTTTAAGGCTTCAGAGAAAATTCATCGTGTTCCTTATTAGTTTTATTGGATTTTGTCGTAAAGGCGGCTTGACACGATCCAAGTGTACTTGGTAAAGCCTGCTTAGACATTGCGCGCGCAACACTTGAAAGCTACTTTGATCGTATCATCTAAGCACACTTGTCTCAACAGGTTCTATCCAAGTTAAGTAGGACGCTGGCTAACTTCCTTGGATCAAAGGAGAGTGTTAGATTCATGGAGGTATGAGAGAAGCATTATGGAATGTACAGATAAAGGAATATAAAAATAAGGATACTAGAAGTGCGGCATTTTTTTTTATTCCACTTTCTGGACTTCAAGCTCATGTATCAACATATCAGCAACCACTAGAACACCTTCCATAATCACTTTCGCTATCTTTACAATGATTGTTTGACATCCAAGTCATTTAACCATGGCAACCAACTTTGTACAAGTACACTTGTACAAGTCCACTTGGTCCAAAAGCATAAAGGCATATCAGTCAAAATGACAGATGTGGTTGTGAAAAGTGTTTGAATTCATCGATCATACAGAAAGTTCGAACAATGATTATACAAAAAGATGTTGACATAAGACAAATTCAAATGAAATCGTAGGCTTCCACGGCCAGAGTCAGAATTATAGTTTATTCGTCTTCCGGGTTTGGACCGTGTCATTTGTGAGTGACCCAAAAGTGGGTTCATCTCGACGTTTCGCTACAATTATATGTAGCTTCTTCAGGAGAAACAAAGAAAAAGAAAAAAGAAAACAAAAGAACAGGAAGATGGGTAGTTAGCAACGGTAACTCAGTTACTCAACGCAACCAGAGGCGAATACTAACTACCAAGATGGGCATTTGGTCACAGTAACTCAACTACTCAACGCAGCCAGAGGTGAAAACCAAATGCCAGGACAGGGATTCACGTCCAACAGCTCAGAACACTAACGCGTCGAGAGGCGGGGAGTGAATCCGACGATTACTCCGCTACCGCTCTATTTATAGTCGCGGTGCCTGTCGTGTCGGGACGTATCGGCACACTTCGTGGCGCGAACGTCAAGAAGCGCGCGCTGGCCAATCATGTGGTGGCGGGACCGGATGGTGGCTCTAGACTGAGATTCCAGATGGGAGACAAGTAGTATCCTTCCTCTCGATTGATATTATGGGGATTTTTTCGGATCTCTAGAGATTCGCGGATTTTCCTGGAATAAAAGAAGGGGCTCTTAGAAATAATATGGGTTTTTTCGAACAATATGGAATGACCGGTTTCTTGGCAGTGTTCGGCAACTGCAGAATGGGAGAAAAGACCTGATCGAATGCATCTTTGATGCTCTTGAATCCGAGTTTTGACGGAACGACCAGTTTCGCCAATATACACATGTCCACATGAACAAGGAATAGAATAGACACCACAGGAAGATAGGGGCGGTAATGGGTCCTTAGGAGAGGGTAGATATTGTGAGATTTTCTTGGGTGGTCGAAAAGTAGTCCTGATACCTTCTTTGCGAAGAATTTTGCCAATCCTATCAGTGACATTTCGAATATACGGAAGAAAAGCCACAGGAGTATTACCCGAAGATTCTGAATTTGTTGTCCTAGGGTGTAAAGGGGGATGTAGATGTCGGTGTGTAATATTTTGAATTGTGGACTTGGAGTAACCATTGGCGACAAGGGTTTTTTGCAGATGGCCAAGTTCTTCTCTAAGGTTGTCGGGTTCAGAAATCGAAATGGCCCGATGGATGAGAGAGTTGATCACAGAATTCTTTTGGGCAGGATGGTGGTGTGATGAAGCATGTAGGTAACGATTCGTGTGAGTCTTTTTTCTATAAACAGAGTGACCCAATGGCCGATTGGGTCACTCTGTTTATAGAAAAAAGACTCACACGAATCGTTACCTACATGCTTCATCACACCACCATCCTGCCCAAAAGAATTCTGTGATCAACTCTCTCATCCATCGGGCCATTTCGATTTCTGAACCCGACAACCTTAGAGAAGAACTTGGCCATCTGCAAAAAACCCTTGTCGCCAATGGTTACTCCAAGTCCACAATTCAAAATATT